AACCAGGGCAGTTTAGCTCAGTTGTTCTAATTTCTCATTCAGAGAGAGAATGCAAATGGGTATTGAATAACTCTCACCCTAAGGAATAAATGATTGTGCAGAATTATACTGCAGCAAAATAGATTTCTGTTGTGCAGCTCACACATTCTGCAAGCTTGAAAATGCTTCCCAGAGTGAGTTGCTGTGAGAATTCAGCTCAGAAGTTCAAGGTAATAGCAGTGCAGATTATTATATTGTCAGTTTGCAGATTTGTGGGGTTTTGGCTGTTTGGGACCAGGCTTAAATAGGAGTCTTTCTTAGAGTCAAGATCTTGCTGCAGTTCAAATCAGATAAAGTTGCAGGCAGAACTAATGATCAAACCCAAGTATTATTTTCCTGTTAAAAATTACTACATTTTGTTTTCTGCTTTAGATACTTTGGCTGCAGTTTTTTTTTCATTTCTTCTCAGCCTGAAGGAAATTTATTTTCTTTGCCTATGAGCTTGCATATTGCTGAAAATGAACTTAGGAGAAATTATTATGCTGGTGTTCTTTGTTTTTCATTCCCTCCCCCTCTTCTGCCAAGTGGAGGTATTTGTTGTTGTTGTTATTATTTTTATTATTATTGAGATTTAACACAGCTCAGTGTATGCCTGTGTTGTTTGGGGTTTTTGGAGCTCAGTTTACATGGACTTGCTTGGGGATGAGAACCAGAATAGAAGTAGATGATTCAGAGCAAGATGCAGGCTGACAGGGAAGGTAATTGTCAGATATATGTGAGAATGTGTTCTGGCAGTCACGCTTTTTAACTTCATCATGACAAAAGCTTTGCTGTGTCTCAAGGTCTTAAATGTTTGTATTGAGCAAAACAGAGGAACCTGGGGAGACAGTTCAGATTAATTAGACACGTTAGAATTGTTTTCTCAGTGCTTAAAGTTGTTGCTTGAGAGATATTTATGTTAGAAATTCCTCCCCTGACAGGTACAAATAAACATTTATTGTAGGTGATGGTAAAGAGAGATGCCCCTGCAAGCTCTGGCATTTCGTCTTGTACACAGAGCAAAGGCGTGGGGGTCCAGTGTGCTGGTTGTAATTCCTAGGTCTGAAAAATGTTCCTTTGTTAAAACTGTGGAGTTCCTGTCTTCTGGACACAGCTCTTGGGGAATCTCCACAGTCTTGTAGGTGTGTTTGCTGCTTTGCAGATAAACAAGCTGGAGTGTTCTCAGGCTGGTGGACAGTGGAGTGAAATGCTGTCTTTTGTCTGATTGCAAGGCATATCTTTTAATGCCATTACTTACCGATAAGCACTATGGACTTTGGTCTGCTTGAGCATAAGGTTCTGAAAAGCTCTGGCAGGTATCCTGGGCAGAGAGGATTGATCCCACACCTCGCTGTCAGTGCTGTCTGCCACAGCTCCAGCGCTGAGTTTGGCAGGTCTCAGCAGAAAATACTGTCTTGTTATTTACCAAGAGCAAATTTTGTAGCTCCAGTTTTTGTGGTGGTAAAGAAATGAATAAAACCAAGGAGATTTTTAACTTGATGATACAGTTGCTGCTACCACAAGGCCTTCATAGACCAATTCCTTTAAAAATATCCAGGAGGCAGTTCCAGCCTGGATCCTGCAAGGGTCAGCTGCTTGTTCTATGTGACAGAACTAAGCTTTGTTTGGTGGTTTTATTAGGACTTGGCTAAGAATTTCAGTTCATCTTGTACTGGTACAGATTTTAGAGTATGTCTTCAAAGCAGAATTAGCTCAGGAAATATGTCCCCACTACAGAGCCCTATTTGTGTGAATCTTTAGCTAATGCTATGATAGCCTAGCAAGTAGGCAAGTTTTTTTGGGTTTTTTTTAAATTTATATAAACTCTTTTCAACTGGACTATGAGTCCATCAGAGCAAGTATCAGCACTAAAGTAACCACAGTAGGTGCTTTGGTCTGCCTTATTTCAGCCCGTGTTAACAAGTTCATCACAGCAATTAGTAAAACACCAGTGACTCTTGTGTATTTTAGTAATTGCTGCCTCTCAGACCTTTTGAAATAGGTTGTCACACCTTTCTGGCAAAGAAAACCCAATTCCAACGTATAAAAGAGAAGAGGAAAAAAAGCAACACCAGAATTTTTCACTCCTTGCCTTACTGAAGGAGTCACATTATGTAGCATTACACTCTGTTGTTTATATAGCCTGCTTTGTTTTCATTTGGGGATGTTCAAAGGGGACTTCAGGGTTGTAGTGAGATGTGCATGAACAGCTGACTGGGAGTTCAAAAGCATTTGTGTAGATTGAAAGCTGGTTTATTTTCCACGTGCCAAGAATCAGTTTTGTTTTATTTAGATGAAACTAGATTATGGCATTGAAAACCCAACTGTATTAACATTCTTACATAAAGCAAGTTGGGAAGTGATGTTACAGTTCAACTAATTGTTAATTATACAAATGCTCTTGCTGCATATTTTCTTAAGACTTTGGGAATGTTTTGTGATGCAGTAGATTTGGAGAGTTTTTATTCTGAGGGGAAAATAGAGTAGTAAATGAGTTAGGAATGAAGATACTAAACAAGATGTTTTCTTCACTTGGAAGCAATGCTTAAAATTGATTAAATATTTGCTTTCAAGCATTTAATCTTCATCTTTGAGGCATGAACATGCTACCTCTGTCTCTCTCCTTTAGGCTAGTTGTAAAACTCTATTCAGGCCTTTGTGGTGCCTTACATAATGGGTAATGCTATGGAGGATCAGCATCCCTCTTTTGTTAAAGTTCTGCTTTTGTCCTGTTGTTCACTTGACATAGCTAGAAAGAAGGGCTAATGGTTGCTGAATAGTAGCTTGTGATGAATTTGAGGATTGAGCTTTTCAAACCCAGAGCCTGCAACTGTCATTGCTGATAATAATCTACTCCTTCTGTGCTGTTTAAAAACCAAAACAAAATAAGAAAAAAAATCCCTGTTCTACACATCTGGGAAAAAAAGGGAATTCTGTTGAGTTTATTGTTGAAATAAAAAAAATGTAGATTATATTGTAAAATATATGGGATTTAAGTATTTCAGATTTAAGTTTCCATTTAAATACTTCAGATTCAGCTCTCTTAAATTTCACTGTTCACATAGTGATTTAACAATGATCTGGGATTAAAACATAACTTGGAGATTTTCGTGATTTTTTTAAAAACTATTCTCTGCTCTGCAAAGATGTACAACTGCAATACAGTTAAAAAGGAGAAAACAATAGTTACCCTCTCCTTGCATCCCAGAACAGACTTACCTGTGTTTGCACTATTGTAGTAATACACATGATTCCCATGTGAATATTTCCAGGTCTGCCTAGGGACCTACCTTATCTGTAGCTCTTTAATTCCAGGTGATCGATTGCCCTTCCTGAGATGCTTTTAGGTTTACTGGGTGTAGCACTTGAAGCAAGTTGCTGCAAGAATGGAAGTGGTTAGGAGGCACTGCCCTTGGGAAGAGGGGAATTGTTGGATGGGAGTAGCCATTAATGAGAGCATCCATGAAGGCACAAAAGCAAACCCTAAATCGAAACCCAGTGCAAACATCTTGAGGAACAGCTGTAGAGTTTCTCTTTTTTTGAGCTGGGCCCTGGGAAATTCCTTTCGGGAAGGAAAGTGTTAAGACTTGTTGTCCAATTTTTGCGAGGGCAGTGTTACATAAAGAACTGCAGAAGTCACACGTAGCATTTCTGCTTTGATTACCTATTAAAAACACATAGCTTGTTTGGCAGACCTTTTGCACTCAGATAACTCCTGATGGTGTGATAGGACGTGTTTTATTTACAGTAATGGACCCACATTCTTCATTTCTCTTTTCTCCTGCAATCAAATTCTATATGCTGTTCTAGCCCAAAGATTGATTCCCACAGGCTTCAGCTTAAATCAGCAGTGGTATCACATTCCTGGATGCATGACAGAGAGGAGGCACAGACAGATGTCTGTGGTGATCATGCATTCACTGCAGGTTTTGCATCCAGGCAGGCAGATCTTGTCCGCAGAGGATGCTGAGCAGGGGAGTGGGGAGAGCTTACCTGGGGTGCCCGTGTTAACTTGATTTTCAAAGACCCTGCAGAACTGAAGGAGTGTTTTCAGTGCCCCTAATTCAACTTCGGTAGGACAATTTTTTGCTTGCCTGCTGGACACTGAGCCATTTTGTTCCTCGGAAATGTTTTGCTGCTAAGGCACAAACACTGAAATAAATCCTTCCTCAGTACATTGAGCAGCTTTTGGTATTTTCCTGCGGCAAGGATGCAAGCAGAGCTTCCAGCTGTTGTTTGGAAGCGTAGCCACAGGATGGGGCTGTTGCACTGCCCACACGGGATCTGTCACCTCCGGGAAGCGAGCGCTGCTTTCAGTGCTAACCTGGAACTGTGCTTCTGGCCCTTTTCTTTATTATTCACCGGTCCATGTAGTGGGCCTCGAGTTTATCCACTTCCAAGAGCTAGGAAATTTGGAGTAAGGTGTTGTTGGCTTGCTAAGAGTAGATCAACTTTGTTTCTTTTAGAGGCAGCTTTGTACCATATGACAAGCCCAGGTAGTGAGGTAATAATTCACATAAAGGTGATTTGGTTCACGTATCACTGAATATGTTAAATATTAAATTTGGGGGGGAGGGGGTTAAGCCTTTATTAAATCCATATTTGTGTTTTAGAAATGTGCCAAGAAGTGTTCTAATGAAGCAGCACCTGGGGGTTAATAAATGATATCATGAATCCATTCTGATTGCCAAGAAAGATTTTAATAAAGGAAGCTATGCCCAGGGTTGACTGTTTCATCCATGAGGAATAATTGTTTTGTTTCCATACTTCTTTTATTGGTTGGTTAAAACAAGTTTGCATTTTAGCATCAAGTAATTTTTGGTTTTTCTGAGTGTTTCTGTACCATTTGCACATAGAGCTGGCGCTCAGTCTCCTGATCATAGGAGGTGTTACTTTGATTGCATGGAGACCTTGCATCTTTTACTGCTTTTCACATTTATCTCGTTCCTCTGTTCTTTCTTCTCTTCCCCTCAAACATTCAGGGTGAAGTGAAGTCCGAAGAGGGGCCAGAATGGAATATACTGCGTGATGACTTCATGATGGGAGCATCTATGAAGGACTGGGACAAGGAAAGCGATGGAGAGGGCAACAGTGAAGAAGGAGGTGGTCTGAAACAAGAAGATGACAGTGACTGAATGAAACTGAAAACCATTCAAGATAATGTTTTATCTTGTTAAGTTTCCTTGGATAAAAAGTCAGCATTCTGTGAATGTACAACACTTGGAGGATAACTCTTTTAAAAAAAAAAAAAAAAAAAAAGACTTACACAACCTTGGAGTGTTTTCTCCTCCATGTCAAACTTTTATTTAATATAGCTCCATTTGCTATACTGAAATCCTGAAATATTTTCCAAAACAAGTATAATTTTCAACATATTTCCAAAACATTTTGTACAGTCAAAATAGTGGCACTTGCCCAATGAAAGATAGATTTTGCCAAGGTCATTAAAAGTTTATACATTAGTCATGGCAATTGATGTATTAGTGTGCCTGCATTTCCAAATCACTGCTGCACTTTGAAAAGTTGTTGCAATTTGCAATAGAAATGGCTTACAATAAACACAGAAATGCCGTCACCTTGTAAAGTTATCAGACTCCTATAGAGTCTTTACTACTTGGGCCAGAAAAGGTTCTGTAGATAATAAAAGAAAGTAACCATTAATGTGATAGTTCTGGTCTTGGAGCATTAGTTTGATTGGAGACAACTCTGGAAACAGAATTGTAAAGGGAGAGTTTTGACCCTACTAATAGGGTTTAGTATATATATATGTATATATATATATGGTTTTTCCATGGCAAGTCTGAGGTTGTATAAGCTAAGAGTCTGGTAGGAGAGAAAAGGACATTCATTGCCATTGGTGTCATTGGGGAGGGAGAGTTTTTCCAGCAATACCACAGAAAATTGTGTTCAGTGTTGCTTCATTTGCAGTTGTGGTGTTCTGGCGTTTTTCAGTGAGGAGCCAGCACTCTGAGATTCATCCCTTGGGTTTAGTCAGCTCTAATGCTAATTCCTCAGGTCTGCAAAGGGTCAAACCAGAACCTCCCTCTTAGGTGTGGGCCATGACAGTAACAAATTTGGAAGCCATCTCTCAGGGTAACACAATTGCCTTTGTTTAAGCTATAGCAATTTCTCCTCACTAGTTGCTGGTTGCAGGGGTGCAGAAGCTAACACACATAATAAGAACATTTTTTGTAAGCACATGCATACAGAAGGAATTATGTGGTGATAGGGTGTTCTAAATGAGAGGCTGGGGTTGAATTCTGCTGCCTTTGCTATTCCAGGCTGACTGTGATGCTGTGTCATTTGTTTAACTTTGCTATCACATTTCCCCATTTGCTATGTGAAGAAAAAACCTTGGGGCCTATTAATTGATAATTATAATACATGGTACTGTTTTGTCCATTTCTACAGATGCCTTACAGACAAACTTTTCTTTGTACCTGCTTACAGGCAAGATATGATTAGGAGCAACTTTGAAATTTTCAGTCTTCATCATGGAAATGTGCAGTAGGATTTAGATTTTCCTAACAAAGGCATTTGATTGAACTTTGTGTGTACTGCAGGATAAAAAATACAGTTACAAAATGGCAGAAAAGCCCATCCCAACAACTGGCAATCATTGTTTTATCCCTAGCCTATTCATCTGGTATATATTGTAGTGTAATTCTTCTAGGAGAACTCAAAGCTAACAGCAGAAATGTTTATATTTTCAAGCTGTTTTGAGTGTTAAACATATTAGATATCTGAGGAGACATTATTTTGTGGCCTGATATTTATTATCACAAATGAAGACATACACCCAAAATACCAAGTGGCAAAACCACAGAAGTTTGACATATGGTTATCCTGGCTTCTGAAGGCTCAACATCTGTACAGCTGTGCAGTGAGAGTCACCATCTCATCAGTGCAGTGCAACAACGTGCTGCAGTGGGGTTTGAAGCATGCATATGCTTCATGAACCAGCATAGCATTCTAACCTGACACTGCTTTCTCTCCACAGAGTTCAGCTGCTTTCTGTGGAAAAATTACATCAGCACCCTTAAATCTACAGTTGTTCTCTAGTTTCATATCAGCAGGTTTCTTTCCATAATCAAACTCCTGGAAAATAATCTAAGTTTTCCTTAGGAACTGTGACATCCTGAGGTGATTATTAAAAATTTCAGAAGGCTTTCCAAATGCTTTTAGAATACTTGGGTGTTTACTTTTGCATTTTTGGAGTAATGTTTTGATTAAAGCACTGAAGTGTCTCTTGTGTGTTTAAGAAAAATGTAGAGTCTGTCAATATTGCTGAAGGTATTTTGAGCTTCCATTTCATTTAGAGTGCATAGCCTATATGTGGAGAGCATTTCTTGCCTTTTTAGAAGGATAATACTTACATTTTTATGTATATTGAATAGTTATTTAAATGTTATACTGCACCTTGTCTTTGCCTTGTCCTTTTTTGTGCTATATGCCGAGAAGCTCCGAGAATTGCTAAAATTGCTAACTACACGTTTTAATTTTAGGCTGCTTTATTTCACAAGTTTTGTTTTTGTTGACTAGCAGTTCAAAAGACCTTGTTTGGCCCAGGCACCTTCCAGTCTCTTCTCTGGGCTGCCCTACCCCCTTTTTCAGTAATGTTCTTCCTCTTCAACAGCTACCAAGAACAACCTTCAGCAGCTTTTCCCAGCAGTCAGAGTGTTCACTCTGTTTTTCCTGCTCCCATGAATATCTGTGCTCAAGCAAAGCTGTACTGCTGCCCTTCATTCCAGAGAGCATGAATCATCTCAACTTTGTATATTTCTGTACCTATCTATATAAAGCGAATAAGGATGGGGTGGTTCCAGTTTTGTTAGGCTTCGAGCCAATTCCAGAGTATGTAAAGTTTAATATTCTATGGATTGCACGCAAAGCAAGGGTTTTGTTTAATAAGAGAAGGCACAGGGTCAGTTCTTCCCCATGTCTCTTGTCCCCTGGTCTAATTTCTCTTCACATTAATTGTGCTAACTTATTTTCAGCAAGGAAAGCATGAGTTGGCCTATGAAAAAAATAACTGTCTTGTCCCTGCTTTTCTTCAGTCTCCTGTTAGGGAAACACTTTTAGAGTGGTGATGGAATATCCTTGTTGTGCCTGATACCACTGTACCACAGCATCTTCTCTGCTAAAACCTGGAGGGAAGAGCTCCCACTTCTGCAGCTGTGAGGCACGTTCTCCTGGGTTTCACTAGCTGAGCTGGAAGCTGCTTCCTAGTGAAGATAGGGCTTTTTTGTCTGATTTGTTTTAAAGAGAGAAATTAATTGTTTGGAGGCCATAGAAGTTTTTTGACTATCTGATGCTTCCAGAAGAAGGTGGTCTGTAGAGCTGCATCTGTTCGGAGCTGGCTCAGTAGCGGTCTCTGGGGAGGAAGGCAGAAGTCATCTGGCACAAAACACTCTGCACAACTGAAAATGACAAGCTTCTCATTCTTATGAAATGAGTCCTGGCACAGTTAATATACACACAGAGCAGTCATCAGTGTTGTTCACTTCCAATCCCTGCAAATTGCTCAATGATTTCTTCAAGACTTGCTGAGGTAAGGAGTGAGAGGGCCAGGAGAAGGCTTGAGGTAGTGGAGACTCAGGATCATGTTACACAGATTGGGTCCTTGGGCTAAATAAGATGTTAAACTCGGGAGTCTAAGACCTCAGACACTGGAGACTGAACAAGTTCTTGATTAACAGATGGTGGAAGACTATACATTTCATTTACTGCTGTGCTTAAGCAGTGGCTTCTAACCTCTTGCAGCATGTAAACCTCCAGTGTTTCACCTCTGTAAGTGATCTAGCAGATAAGGGCTTTTTCTTAATCATTCTTCTTCGGACTTTTAGCAATGGCTGATACTTCTTAGACACAGCATTGTTTTCAAATGCATCTTTTCAATTGCTTTTCTGTCTTAAGGGACATGTTAAAAATGAAACTCCAGTCAAACTGAATACCTTCAGCACGAAAGATCCTTGTGTTTGTGTAATGCACCATCCCGTGAGCATTACTACTTACTTTTGTTAAATCCATGTGTTAAACCTGTTGGATACAAAATTGTTAAATGAATTAGAGTACTTTCATCAAGCTTTTGGGTGTGAACTCATGAGCACAAGCAGTTTCCAAGAGGTACTTTGGAAGGTTATTTTAGGAATACTCATAAAAAGCATTTCTTAACAGTGCCACAGTTGGTTCAGTAGCCTATTCTGTCATGCCAGTGCATGAACTTTTAGAGCATCATTTTACATTTTCTTAGTGTTTCTTCACTCTTTTCAGTAAATGTGGTGGTGTTAATTGTGAATTGCTAACCAGGATCAGACTTGCATTGAGGTTTTCATACCACTATGATTTCTTACAGACATAGTGTTCTCAGAAGTAGCTGAATAATTAATAGAAAGTGTTCATTTACAGGATAAACTGGATACACTTCTTATCAGAAACTTCATGCCATAATTAAGAAAATGGTTAAATATAAAACCCGCTGATGTTATATTAATAGTTCTTTAAGTCACGTGTTGTAGGCGTGTGTGATCATAAGTAGAAGTTAACAGGGGTTTTTGCCATAGTTTTAAAATCTGTCATACTTAAAGATTCCACTAGCCATTTATGAGCCCTTTATAAAGTGCATTATGAATATAATCATGGAGATTGTGACTTAAGGCCCATGGCTATTCAATCACTCTCTTGCTTTGAACTTTGCTTTTCTATCCTGATAAAGGAAGACATTCTTACCTTGTTCAGAACAGAAAAGCTCAAAAGTTGCTTGATTCAAGCAACAAGATAGTGAAAAGCTTTCCTGGTTATGTGGATTTTGCATTGACTTTCAGGTTGAGTACAGTTTATCACAAAGAGGATTTTCTTTGGTTTTTAAGTGATCCATAAATTGCAAGTTTTGTGGGCAGTGAAGCAGCCTTTTACTTAGGGTGCCCTATGTCCAGGGACAAGAACTGGCCTGTGTCCGTTTCAGGAAGGGTGCCTGAGGTCAGGCAGCTGAATGAAAAGTGTCACTGGAGAGCCGAGTCCCTGAGCTGCTGCAAATTGAGCCTTTGACATGCCTGCCCATGGCACCTTCCCAGTCACACATCACAGGGCTGCTGGGAGGTGAAGGGCAGTCAACACACATTGTCAGTCTTTCCACCACAGGGTACTCTGCATCCTCACTTACAGCCCCAACGAGTTTCAAAAGAGGTTCACATTGCAGTAGTGCAGTATTGCTGCAGTAGTGTAGTTTCGTACAAAAGGTAACAACAGTGTGGTTTTGTATATGGTCGGGTTTTTTTAGAGGAGTGAAGTATTTGACAGTACCGGCTGAAATTTGGTACATCTTTATGAAAGAAATACTCATTAATTAAGAAAAGACTTCATAAAATTCTGAAGTGTCTTTTCATGATTAACAGAAAAAGACTGAAGATTTTTCAGAACCTTCACACAAGAACCTCAATTTAAGGATGCACTACTCAGTCAAAGCAATGGATTAGACCCAAGTATAAATATAGTTCCAGTATGAACATTGATCAAATTGGGAGGGTGATATATTGATATTCTTTCTTGTGGATTGTGTTAGAAAGGGACCAGTCAGGCCTTGCAGGATGCTGAACATCTTTCTGATGATGTAGCACTGCAACCAGCAGGTCAGACCAGGATTTCCAGTGCCACTGCTGTTCTCTCCATCTGCTGTGTTTTGCCTTTTGTTTTTTTTTTTAATTTTAAACTGCTGGGGTGTTCTTTTATATTAAATATTCGTGTCATTGCCTAGAATTAAAGAAGTGGAATACATTTTATGTGAAGAAGACAGTTCAAGTAAGAGGGGAGATGTGTGTCTTTCTATGTCAATACTGTGCCTCCCAGACACAGGCCATTGCCTTTGATTCTCATTCACTTCAGTTGCTGGTGAAACACATTGCTGGACTATCTCTCTCATGATGAATTAATTGCTTTCATTTCATAAGACTGCAGTGATGAGCTTGTGGACTCAGGTC